TATCAATGGGCAGGCGTCTTTGAAAGTCCTCTTGCATTTACAGCATAGATTTCAGTAGGTTCTGGATGAAGGAAAGTATATTTTAGTGGTTGAGTAGGTAGATATGTGTAAATTAGATTTTAGTACTGGAATGCCTATATAATTAGTAAGCTGTCCACAAACACTGATCAAATGGAGCAGTGATCACCTAAAAGCATCATCAATCAAATTAACAAATGCAGAGATGTAAATTAAGTGGCTGCAGGGAGCTGGATGTTCAAGTGTTTTTATGTTTGTTGCCTCCTCTTTTTTTAAACAAGAATAAAATGTGATGGTGCATCATTCTGCATGTTGTAGTCCTCATCTGCTCTGGTCATCTTTTTATTGTGGAGTTTTTTTCCAAATGCTTTTTATGTAGCTGTTCAAGATGCTTGAGCTCCCAAGCAATTGGTGTTGAGGTAGGCTCCAGCAGTGGGCTTTTTCTGCCTAGCTGGTGGCCTGACAAATTTCAGGCTAATGCTGTGTGAGGAGTACAACCTGGGCTGCTGGCTGTCAGACACTTGGAGAGGCTTTGGATGGAATTTTATCTTTAAAAGAGTCCTTGCGTGGAAGCTTACACTCTGCTGTGTGGATATTCCCAGAAAAGCAGAGCCAGCTCTCCTCGCTCTCTGATGTGTGTCAGCAAGCAGGAACATCTCCTGAAACAAATCCACCATCTTCCTGAGGCTTTCCCAGGCTGCCAACAGGGGCACCAGTGGGACTCGTGGAATAGATTTTCCCGATGCACTCGGAATCTCAGCCTCGGCACTGCACWAGGAGCTCTCACATCTGTTCCTGTTCAAACACGGGGTTTTAACCACAGAGCTGTTCTAGGTTCTTCTGGAATATTATGACTGATAACCAGAGCTTGTTTCTGCTTGAGCTTTCCAGGATTTTAGCAGCTAGTGTTTCTTTTCAATTCGAACAGCATGTTCTGTCATGGCTAATTAAATTCCTTCTGGCTGATGTGCAGATACACACTGTTGATGATGTTAAGTGTAAACATTTGCATGTTATTTCTTCTCGCACATTGCCAGGTGACACATCATATATAATCACGGCAATTCTGATGAATCATGTTTGCAGTTTGGCTCGCCAAGGCTGGGATGGGAAGTTCGTGTTCCAAAGTGAGCATGGAAATGAGTGTGAAAAAGTGTAGTGGTTCTCCTTCCAGATTATCACTGGGGACAGACTTCAGTGGCAAATAATAAAAAAACTTGGATTAAAATGAATGATTGTGGCTGAAAGTGGAGCACAAGAGTTGTTTTAACTGCTTTTCTTCATTGAGACAAAATATTTTGCATAGATGATTCAATGGAAAGAGTTTGCAGATATCTGGTGTAATCAATCCTTTCTGTTTAAAAATAGCTGACTCTTCCTCAGCCTCTTACAGTGATGTGCAGGTGCTTTAGGAATCAGGAAACCAGTCCACATACAATAAATGTTTCAGTTTCAGGTCAGACCTTGGTTTGCTTAGTTGCATTAGTCGTGTTATCCATGCTGCTGGATTATGTTGCTTAGTGAGGTTTCCAGCACCCTGYCTCCTTGATTTTTGGGGCACTGCTGGGCTGGAACTGGAAATGCAGAACTGCACATGCTGGGTGGAGTTTTAAGGATGCTGCAAATTAAGGTCAACATTAGGGTGATGTATATTAATACTTWTTTYTTTCTTCTTTTTTCCTCTCTTGAAGGTTTTTGGATTCCAAGCATAAAAACCATTACAAGATATACAATCTGTAAGTATGCTTTTAAAGATGCATTCTCCAAAATAATGACTTCTAAAAATACTTTAGGGAAGTGTGAGTGGCTCTGCTGTCCTGAAGCAGAGCTGGAGATGTTTTGCACATTTCTTAAAACAATTAAGGCTGATTGAGAGCACTGGTGCTTCATTTAGTGRAGCTGAGTGAGGTTAAATGAAATGCTGGTGTGTATTCATGTTACTTGAACGCTTTTAAATGACTTGGCATCCAGCCCATCTGGAGCTTGGACCATGTGATGAAAAAGTGAAAAGTAATTCACAGCAGGCTTTCTGTTCATATATTAATGTCCAATTGCCAAATGAACATTTTCCTGTTTTTTTCTCTATGTTTTTTTTTTTTTTCCATCAAACTGCTTTGGTACCCAGGCTCTGTTTGCTTCCTCCCTCTTGTCTGTCCCTGTTTATTACTCTGAAAAAGCTGTTGGAGCAATTGGTGGTTTCTCACTTTTCTAAGTGTAATGTTTTTCTCTGAAAATTTAATTCTGTACTAAGCTATTATTGTTACAGGAGTTTTCTGGTTTTGATTGTTGATTTTTTGTTTGGTTTTTTTTTGCTGTTCCTTCATCAAATTTATGTTAACTTAGTCTAATCATTTATATGAATGGTTTGGTGATGTCAGCTGATGTTGAGGAGTCATGATTTTCCTACCCCTTATTTTTTCCTAGAAATCTAAGTTGAACATTGAGTCTCTGAACTGTTACAGCTTTTTTTTTTAAATGAATGTGTTTAGAAACATCTGCAATTAATAGAAAAATTACTGTAGTATTGAAATCCAGGCAATGCATGACACTGTAATCTGTCAGTCATTAAGAGAAATACTTAAAAATAAGGATTTTAATCTGCCTCTAAGTTAGCTAAATGATTTTCCATCATTYAGCTGTTTCCTGATACTGTAGAGAAGTGACAGTAGAAGCTGAGGAATCTTACAGTGGTCATTGAAGTTGTTTACATAAATAAGAGTCTGTCACTTTTCATAGAGTTTCAGTAGGAAAATTGTATTTTCCACTTTAGGAGCTTTCCAGAATATTCTTTTTTTTCCACTAGATTAATAAAATTTCTAGGTGGAAARGGCAGGTCTTCCCAGAAAAGCTGATGGCTCCTTGGCATGTCTGCCAGCAGCCTCATTTTGCTGAAAAAACAACCCCACAACCCAGTCCCCCAGCCCTGCACAGGAACAGTGTTAAATTTTGCAAGTGAGAACAGCAGGGATGAGACAAATGCATTTGACATTTCTTCTGCTGCTCTGTGTGTTTTCAGCTGTGGAAAAAACTTCTCCAGGTGTGCCAAAGGTTTCTATCTCCAGGTTATTTTATGTAGAAATTTATTTCCTTGTTGCTAACTGCAAAACAATCACAAATGAAACTTCCTAGAATTAATTTATTCATCCTCAGATGAAAACTTTTGGTGGCTAAAACTGTTTTTTCCCTGTCTGGAGAGGCCAGGTTATCTCTTATWTATGCAGGCAAAATTTATACACAGAAAATCCCATCAGGTGAATTGTGGCAATGTTTGGTATGGGGATGGGAAGGAATTGCATCCATCAGGTATTCCAGAGAACTTCATGTCTTCAGATTGAACTGATCCTTGGTAAATAATGATCTATTGTCTGTGTTTCAAAGGAGGAGGTGGGAGTTCAGAGGAGTTACGTGATTATAGGCAGAATTATTTCAAAATCTGTCATGGGATTTGAGTTCCCTTAAGGCAGCTGTTCCATGAAGTTGATAATAATGTGTGTATTGAGCAGTTTTATCTAAAAGGATTTAGAGATTTTTCTGAAATGATGTCAGTTCTGCCCCATCCTCACATCTTGGCTTTTATTCCCAGCAGTTTGAGCAGTTTTATTTCACTTCTTGTGTTGTTTCTCTCCTGTGTTCCTTTAACCCTTTGTTATTTCTCCAGTATTCTCCTTAATTTAAGCAATTGTAATTTAATCCTAGAGAGGATTACTGGAACAGACCAAGCCACTCCTTACCCCACAAACGCAAAACAATGTTCGTGTTTCATCTGGAGATCTGTCTCTATTCCAGCTATGATAGTGTTTGAGAGCCCCACAAAAGCATTTGAAGTGTTAAGTCCCCCCAGCACCCCCAGAGTGTGTGTTGGTGGGATTTATGCTGCAAATACACACAAATTTAGTGCAGCTCCCAGAAGGGAGAGAGAGGGACACGACCGTGTTTTGTGCTCAGTTTCTCTCCTTGGTATCAACAAAACTCTTTCTATCCCTCATGGCATTCCACTCATTGATMCTTTCTTAAAGTTCCAAATTGGATGTTTTTTCTGCCCATATGTGGATTTTTTACATGTTTTAAAGACTTTGATCTGTTATTCCCTGTTTGAGCTGGGTGTTTCTTGAAAAGGAAGCAGGAAACTTTCCTGGCTGAGATGCCTTGTGTTCACTGTTTTGCTTCCCAGCAGCTTCCAAAGTTCCTGTGCTGGTGGCTGCTCCATTCCCCTTGGATTTACATCCTACATCCAGCCTTTTCTTCTCAGAGGCTCAAAACCAGCTAATATTTTTGTGAGTCCCCTCTGCCAGCTCGACCTGGTCCCTTCTGACCCAGAGAAAGTGTCAGCAATGTGGTTGGAGCTGTGAAAGCTGCCAGGCTTCTCCCTAGCACGGGGTACAGCTGAGAAGGCTCTGGAATTTGGGGAAAGGGAAAGCCTGGGCAGCCCTGCCTGTGTCTGTGGCGTGGGCAGAGCCCAGGGCAGCACTGACACTCACCCAGGGGGCAGCCCCAAAGTTTGCATGGCTGGAAGTGTCACCTGAGCTCCACATGGCWCCAAAGGCTGCAGTCATAACATACCTGGTGAGGAGAGATGAGCTCATTTCAGTCCTGAAACTGGTGTGGGGATTGGAATCCTGTGAAGAGCACAGGCTGTAATCAGAGCTGTAGATCTAGGGGTGATTTGTCTACTGAAATTACTCCACTGGTTGTGTTTCAGCCTACTGTCCTCTTCCACAGAATCCCAGAATGGTTTGGGTGGGAAGGACCTTAGAAATCATCTTGTTCCAACCCCCTGCCGTGGGCAGGGATGCCATTCACTGGATTAGGTTGCTCAGGTTGCCATCCAAGCTGGTCTTGGCAGGATTGTTCTCAATTCTCTTTTCTAAACTGCACTTCCACTCGCATCATCTTCCCTGCAGGGAACAGCTCCAAGGAGAATTCTAGAAGGGATCCACTCYTGCCTTCTCTGCCCTTAGCCCAGGATCTGATCTGGTTGTTCCTCAGTGTGCTGTTTGGGCTGGTTCAAAACCCAGCTGAGGGGTTGTTTCTGTCTGGCTCTGGTGTTTGTCCCTGGACAAGGCAAACCCAGTGTGGTTTGCTGTGCTCTGTTGAGCTGGAGGGGGTCTGTGAGTCCTGGGAGACTGCAACTCCTGAGCCTTCAGAAATGTGCTGTTTTCCAGGTCTGGGAGGGGAAAAGTGRCTGAGTGGCCTTCAGGGCTCCCTGTATTCAGGAACCAGTGCCAAGTGGCAGAGCAATGCCACAATCTTTGCTTGGTACAAGTGATCTCTGTGATGTTATTCTGTGGGGCTTGTGGTGGTCCTGCAATGTCCCTGTGATGATCCACATCACTGCAAGCACCCATAGTGCTGCTGAGGCACCTTGACCTGAGTTCTGAGTTCAGAATCCCTTGGGTGAAGGTCCCAGCTGTTTCCTTACMTCCTGTTTGGCAGCACAAAGCTGCTCCAGTGGCTGGAGCTGTTCATGCACAGGGTTAGAAAGGAATCACACATTGCATTAGGTGCATGAATGGAGTCACACTGACTAAAACGGAGCAGTGGGCTACAATTACCAGAGGATGAGGATTTGCCTTTCAGTAAATAGCTCATGTTTTAGTGAGCAATCTGCAGCAAAACAGTTTTTCTGTGTGTAACCTCTAGTTTTGAATAAAGGTGATGGGTATACATGATTTTCCTGGGTGTGACAGATGCTGGGAGTGCCTTGGAGACTTGTCTTGAATTCTTGTCTGTTTTTCTTTTTCAGATGTGCTGAAAGACATTATGACACCGCCAAATTTAACTGCAGAGGTATGTTTTTACTGCCTAATGTGTGTTCTCTTTAAACCTCACTGAGTGGAGGCCTAAAGGAGGAGCTGATAAATAGTCATGTAGRAGATTTGGGCACAGGGAATGATGTCAGTTTGCTTTGAGTCACTGGAAAAACTTGCTGTATTCTTGGGGCTTTCAAAAAAGCATGTTCCTGACGGCTAAAGATCAAGATCTAATTAGAGGTCTGCAGTTGCAAGAATTTCTGCAGAATGGGTTACACAGAAGTTTCAGTTCAGTCAGGTACAGAYTCCTTGTACCATTCACATGTGAGGCTCGGAGGAGTCTGTTTTTTCTGAAGGATGAAAATGGAGAGCACTGAAGCCACTATCATTATGCATATAAAGCAACTTTTGGAAGATCTGACAGAACCTTCAGATGCTAAAAAAAAATGAATTCCCACATGATGTCTCTTAGAGATGAGTTGAATCTTAGACACTGCTGAGCTGCCTAAATCATTGGGGAACTTTGAGGGCTRCCTTTTGACCAGRTCCTYGGTGAGTGGATATTGATATACTTAYTGTGTCAGTATCACCTCCCCAGGTAATCAATAAATAAATAAATGCAGATTGACCTTTATTCTTTGGGCAGGGGAACATCTCTTGCTCAGCAGTAGAGCTTCCAGTTCCTGTKCTTAGGATGAGGGGAGATGAGGAGTCCTTGTGCCTGTGGAATTGTAGGAGATGAACACGTTTTTGCCTTGCTGCCTTATCCTACATCATAGCAATGGTTCAACTTGTATTTTTCATTATTATTATTATTATTATTTTAAGCCATCCTTTTCATTCTAAAGTATGTTTAGAGCGTGACCAAAATGTAATTGGCTGCTTTAATGTCTGAATATAGAAGGACTGAAATTGTCTTGTTGAAAGCATCACCACTTCTGATTTGCTGTTACGCTGCTGAATGACACTGCCCTGAAACCTCACTCCATGCACAACAGTCAGAACAAAAGTATTTTAGGATCTGCTTGAGGAGTGCTTTGGGTAAGGAGAGAAGAGGACGTGTTCTAATATGGCCAGAACATATGTTTGCTTTAATTTCTGCTTTGTGCTACGGGGGTGCTCGGCTCCCTGCGCTGTCAATCCCAGCCCCAAATGCTGCTTGTGACAACACCTTTCACAGCTCCTCTGCACAAGACATGTTTTTTCATGTTCATCCCTGAATTAGTTAACCTCAGATAACCAAATCAGTGACTCAGGACTTCCCTTAGTGGAGGAACAAAAGTTCTACTTGAAAATCTCCTGAAGTGAACTGACTGCAGAGGGAACTTCTGATTTGAATGCTGAGCCTGAAACACCAGAGTAGTTCATTGTTCACCCAGGATGATCYTGGATCACATTAAACCCCAAATGTTGAAAGCTCTTCATCTTCTTTGGGCACCAGCTTTGTGTCCAGGGTTTTTCCAGTTTCTGAAGTCCTTCCGTGCTGGAATTGCCTTCTGCTTAGCCAGACTCCCCAGACTCCCCTTTTGTTTTAACTCTTCTACCTGCCATGGGATTTTTCTTGCAACATGGGGAGGCTTGGAGGGAGTAATCAGGACTATTCTCCTTGCTATGTGCTCCAGTGTAGAAATCAAAATCCATGGAGGACCTGAACTTTCTCAAGGAGCTGCTCAAAACTGTGCAGCTTCATGTTTCCTTCCTCTTAATCCTTCATACCATCCCAGGGCACCCATTTCATCTTCTCATTCCAGCTTTGAAGAAATTACCACAAGGATTCCAAAGCTTGGAGAGCATCTTCATTATCCTGGGACTAATTGGGATTTTTCAGACCTTTCTTTCAGGACTTCTGTACTCCCCTTTTGATGGGAACCTTGCTGGCTGCAGTTGTGATAGACTCAAAGCTGTACAGACAAATTTGCAGCATTTTCACGGCTTCTTTTCTTAGGGATTTCTAAATAAATTCCATCTTTAAGTTCATATAAAACTTTGGGGATCATTTGGRGAGCCTTTGAATCTTCCATGTGGARGAGTTTATTACTCCGTGTTCATGTTTGTGAAGCTTTGTTGTCTCTTTAAGCAAAGATTGTTCACTTTCTCTGCTTTCCTGTTTGTTCTGGGAGATGAAGTGGGCAGTCTGTACTGTGAGTGAGTAAACTGCCTTTTGGATTCCTCCAGAAGGCTTTGGACTTGTCCTGCAGTCCTTTAGCAGTTCCATAACTTCATCCCTCACTTGAGCTCTTGGAGTCCTTGGGGATTCATCAAAAGGAGCCTTGCGAGTGTGACTACAGAGCAGTGCTTACGAAACCAGTACAGACCCTTGCCAAAAAAATGAAATGTATTCATTTTTAGCCCAGAAAAGGAAATGGTGTTTCTAGCTGAGAATTTCAAAGTGAACCAGGGTTGTGTTGATCAGCTCCCAAGGCTGTCAGGGGGAATTGGGGTGCACTTTCATCAAGTGCTCTTTTGCTGAAAGCAGAACGTTGTGCATAGTTCTGCAGGTCAGGGTGACCTTGTCTCTCATCTGAGCTGAGGTGGGACAATTTTGGGTGCCTCTGTCTCTTTAGTGCTTATTTTTGCTCTCTGGAGTTTCCTTCCATTTCCTTCATCGCTGGAAGTTCTTTCCATCTCTAGATGGGAAAAAAGTGTTTGTGAATATCCTCATGTCAGAAAGGACAACGTTGTTCAGGGCCYCATAAGTGCTGCCAGGGCCTTACCTGAGATTTGTCTCCTGATTATCATTTTTGAAATACGGAAACGGCAGATTTTTGTTTCACAGTGCCTTTGAGCAAATTCCGAGAGTTTGTTCCCAATGCACGCCCAGCCGYGTTCTGTAGCATCTCAGTGACTGAGGTCTGGCCTTGTTCTCTCTCAGCAGGTAGTTTAATTATTGCTGGAGTAATAGCTTTTCACAAGGTTATTCTGTGTGCCAGCACGCTCCTAAATTCTGGAAAACTTGTAACATAGAGCCCATGCCACTCAGTTCAGTAGAGGTGTGAAATAGTTGCTTTATGGAGCAGGATATGGATTATTGGGGAAATGTCTGCATTGCATATGACATGCTGAATAATACTGGAATGAAAAATCTGTATCTGTGTATAAGATGGGGGGGTTTATTGAATAACTTAATTTTTATGTGCTGAATAACACTGGAATTAAAAATGTGTGTCTGTGTTTAAGATGGGCATTTATTGAATAACTTAATTTTCATGTGCTTGTCACAAAGGTGACCTGTGTGAGGCTGCTTTGCCTTTCAAGGTTCTGATGAACTCTTCCTTCTCCCTGCAGTTGCACAGTACCCTTTTGAAGACCATAACCCACCACAGCTGGAGCTGATCAAACCTTTTTGTGAAGATCTTGACCAGTGGCTAAGTGAAGATGACAATCATGTGGCAGCAATCCACTGTAAAGCTGGAAAGGGACGAACTGGTGTAATGATTTGTGCATATTTGTTGCATCGAGGCAAGTTTTTAAGGGCTCAAGAAGCCCTAGATTTCTATGGGGAAGTAAGGACCAGAGACAAGAAGGTGAGCTGTTCCCTGTTCTCCTGTCCCCCTACCTGTAACTTTTGCTGCTTTTCCTCCTTGAGGTGCCTTTGATGCTCAAACCCCTTCAGAAATCCATCCCATCACGTGCAATGTCTGATTTAGCTTCAGTAGGGGTGGATTCAGTGCAGTTGTAAATGGAAAAGCTTTCCTAAGCAGCAGTGACAGTTAATCACAACACCAAACCAGCCTRGTTTTAACATGTGCTGTCCAAGAAGACCTGGGCAGTTGATTTTAAATGGTTTTTTTCAGCACTGTTTTGCTGTGTGGTGCATCAGAGGGGCACTGAACTTTCTCTGTCAGCATTTTCAGCCCAAATGAGAGGATTGTTCCAGGTTCTTTTGCCTGAATGGATGAGTTGTTCATCTCCTCAGGTTCCCTTAACTGTCGTGGTGCACATGGGGAATAACTGGAGGATCCTTATTGTTGGATGCCCCTTGTCAGTAAAGGGTAGTTAAAGACCTTTCTGGCAGGGTTAGGCCTCATTAATGAGAATTGAACTTCTTTATTTGAAATCTTCTCCAAAGATTATAAGGTGTGACTTTTAAGGTCATTTTAGGAAGTTTCCCTGCTCATTTTCCATTGCTTCCCTGAGTGTGTTGGTTGAGCATCCCGAGRGGATCATCCTGGCGAGCCAGTTTTGACCTCCTCAAGCACAGAGATCTCTGTGTTCCAGGAATATTTGCACAAAGTATTAATTTCACAGTGTGATRGTCTYTRATAAGAGKAGCTTCGTGTCTGAAGGCTYCTGAGAGCAGAAGTGTCACAAAAGGAATTTTAGAATTTGGCTGATAATTCTTTGGGAGAAGCTCGGAGCTCCTTGGTTTGCTCTCCTGGTGAAGTGGAGCTGTTATTCTGGGGTTGTGGTGTAATACTGCACTAGAGACAAAATCAAGGCTTCTCATGAAAACTTTGTGGCTTTTAGGAAGAGAGGCTAGGAATGAGTAGGGTGCTGAACAAACAGAAGTAGATTACCCCTGCTGATAAGCATTATCTCCAGAGCTGGCTAAAGCATCAGGAAAACTGCAGAACTGAACAAATGCCCAGTGAAGGGTTGTGCCTCAGTTTCCCTTTTATGAAAAGATGGTTGTATTTTTCTGCAAGTTGAGGGTAAGGTCATTTGGGTGTTCATCAGTACCCCYGGGGTACCTTGGGCATCTTGGAGGGGAGGGAGAGCTCAGTAAATAGTAGTGAGAGCCTTGTTTACTTCACTGGAAGTACTGTGTGTAAGTAGCACTTTGTTTTGGTTTCAGTGTCTCTACTGCAAGAATTTCCTTTTTTCCATTCCCAGCTCCACTTGAGCCGGGTTATCTTGATGTGGTCAGTGTGATTCCCATAGTCATTCCGTAGTGTTTATAACCAGGTATTGCARTGCAGGTTCCTGGAGCCTTCTCTTCCCTCGTGGCCCATATTTCAGTGTTATATGTCAAGTGCTGCTCTCTGGTTTGATATTTCACCACACCTTTGTATAACTGACTTCCTCAATTCAAAGTCAATGAGGCATCCAGAGAGCTGTCTGCACAGAGAGACAAGCAAATGCCTCTTTTCTTTCTTTTTGGGCTGACAGAGGTGTGATGAAGGAAAACTGGCTTTGGCAGGTCCCAGATTTTGTTGGTTGAAAGCAAGGCCAAGGTGCCCACTTTGCCTGAGAGCAGYCCAGCTCCAATCCCTGCTCCGGGCAGTGCTGCTGTGAGGTCTCAGCCCGTGCTGGCAGGAAGTGGCAGTCTAATTGCAAGAGGAAGTATGACTAATTGGTCAAGAGCACGGCCCTGAGTGCTGCTGGAGCCAGCTTTKCCCGAGTGCCTGGGGGAGCAGCAGCTCCAGGGAGAGTTGTTGGAGGGGAGGCTGAGTTGCTGCACGRGCTGTTTGTGTGCCGGGCACCAAGACATTGCAGAGCCCAAGCTGTCTGTGACCCAACCCTCTGGTGGGGTTTTCTGTTTCCTCTACGAGCTGCCTCTTTTGACTTCTGAAACTGTAGWGAGGGGAACTTTGTCAGAAGAAGGGAGTGATGAAGGTTAGAATAGGCTGTGTTTGTCTGTTTCCACCACTGTAGAACAGGAATTATTTTTATTTTCCCTTTGAACCAAAGGAGGCAAACTTTTCTGAAATGGGATTGCAGAACTGCAATTGTCCAGAAGTAACGCCCCAAAAAATCCTCTTAAGAAGCTACTGCTTCCACTGTTTGAAGTGATTATTTTATCCCTTTTTTTCCTTATGATGGACACTGACACACTCCGGTAGTGACTGGTAGCTTACTTTCCTGCAGCTGGGGAAGGTCTTAATTTATTCCTGCTTCTGCTTTGGAGGGTTTTGTGGTGAGGATTAGRCTTGGAAGGAAGCTCAGTGGATAGGGATCAGCTATTCAAGTGCTGGGGCTGGAGATGATCTACTCAGGAGTGTTCTTTGAGCACCATACTGTTGTCTTTTCAAGGATGGCTCCTGAGAGTTTTGTGRGGAAAGGCTGAGAATCAGGATTGTTCAGCCTGGGGAAGAGCAGCTCTGGGGTGACCTCATTGTGGCCTTGCAGGGCCTGAAGGAGCTGCAGGGAAGATGGAGAGAGACTGAGGACAAGGGCCTGGAGTGCCAGGATGAGGGGGAATGGCTTCATGCCGACAGAGACTAGGGTTAGATGGGATATTGGGAATTGGGAATTGTTCCCTGGGAGGGTGGGCAGGCCCTGGCACAGGGTGCCCAGAGAAGCTGTGGCTGCCCCTGGATCCCTGGCAGTGCCCAAGGCCAGGCTGGACATTGGGGCTGGGAGCAGCCTGGGACAGTGGGAGGTGTCCCTGCCATGGCAGGGRTRGCACTGCGTGGTCTCTTAAGTTCCCTTCCCACCCAAATCATGATGTGTTTCTCTGGTGTTGGTGTAACTGAACAGGAAATGAAAAACAGTTCTTCTGTGGGAGGAAGTGTCAGAATGACCCTGTGAGCAGGGCAGAGATCCCCTGTGTGATGTCAGAGCTGYCAGCTGTGGTGTCTCCTTGTTGGACATGCTCAGGTGCCAGCTTCTGCTAACCCTGGTGCCCTCAGCCTCCTCTGGGGCTGCAGCTGCACCCTCACAGTAGRGTGTGCTCCTAAAGGGAGTCGGGGAGCATTGGTTCCAAACTATATTGGAAATKRTAGGGTTAGGACTATGTTCTTCATRGTCCTGCCTGCRCTACCTTGAGAGGAGAGCCACGAGCAGCGCCTGGCAATGTCTGGGATGCCCTGGGAAGCTCTGSCATGGGGACCAGAGGAGCTTATCTCATCCATTTAAAAATGGTGGTGGTGAGAAATGGGAAATACAGCTTGAACTGTTTCCCTGTCCTTACTCTCCTGGAGCAGAAGTCAGTGGTGATTGGTTGCACCCCTTAGACTATTGTTAGCTTGTTTTGAAAATGTTCTGCTTGGAATCCAGACCTCTGGAAATGGAGAGCTCTGAGTTGTGCTTCAGTGGGACTGGCTTTAGGGTCTCAGGATGTAAAGGCTACGTCTCCAGGGAGTAAATCTCTGGCTGGAGGGATCAAACTGCCCTGTTGGGAAGAAGTGGATTTGCTGTAGGRTTGACTGTCAGTGTGAAAATGTTCTCTTGGTCTTGGTCCCAGCTTTGGTTGTCCTGGCCAGGTGCCCTGGGGTTTTTCTGTAGGACACGTCCACTATGACCCTGGGAAGCTCTGGGCAGGGAAGGATGTGTTCTCCTCACCTGGGTGCTTTCATCCAGCACTGGCCGTCTCTGCCACCTCACTGTGAGGCTGGAATTTGCTCTGTGCTGAAGCTCAGATCAGGCAAAGAGAGCTCAGAGCTCCCTTAAGGAGTGGGTGTGATAAACACTGGGGACACGGAGCCAAAGCCACAGCCAGTGTACAAGACTGCCAGGGAAGGGCATTGTGCAAGTGCTGCAGGGAAAGGCCTTCTGGGTCATTTAGAAGCAGCTCCAGTGATAAGGAGACGTAATTATCAACATGTTTTTTAATAATTGTAGGAAGCGCCTATTTTCATGTGTGCAGAACAGAGATTTGCTGAATTAAAAGCACTCTGGCCACTGAGCTCATGGCTGTTGTGAGGTGAAACAGGTGAAACTAAAAGCTTATAGAAAGGGGTGTATGTTTTGTGATCAAATGCTCACAGACTTGTATGTGAAAACTTTTGTTTCCAATTTATTCCAATTCAGTTTTAATCAGGAAGATTCCTTACTGATGCTGCTGCGAGTCTACAGTAACAGGTTGTTCTAAACCATGCAATGCATTTTCTAGGAAATGAAACCATTTATATTTATCAATTTTACTTGAAAACATTGGCTCAAAGAGCTTTAAAACTGTTCCCTTAYTTGAAGCTTTAAGCTGATTGAAAATGAGTAATAAAAACATTCTTAGGTTTTGTGCTCTCAAATCAAATGTTTACTTCAGAGTTGTAAACTCAACTGAAGTCTTTCATTGTGCACTTTGGGCTGTTGGGCCTATTTTAATGGAAGTTTGCACCTTTTTTTGGGAAAATATTCCAGGATGTTTTGTAATAGAAAGTAGCGTCAGTCTTGAGTACAGTGATATTAGCAAGCATGAGAGTCTTGTGACCTAAAATGCTGTCAAAAGATAATTCCTGTAGTGGTAGATTTTAGAGTTTCTAAATGTGGTGGTGCTCAAAAATCAGAGTGTGTTCAAGGCACCTCCTCTTTACCATTTGACACTCTCCATCCCAAGAAAAGAAGCAGCTTGAGACTAATTTTGACGTGACCCTCCAGGTGTCTGTGGTGTTTGTTTTTAAGAAAAATCTGCATTCTTTGCATCATTGCTGGAGACAAATGTCTGGAGTGCACAGAATCATGGGTTGGTTTGGGTTGGAAGGGACCCTAAAAACCACATAGTTCCACCTCCTGCCATGGGCAGAGACACCTCCCACTGTCCCAGGCTGCTCCCAGCCCCAATGTCCAGCCTGGCCTTGGGCACTGCCAGGGATCCAGGGRCAGCCACAGCTTCTCTGGGCACCCTGTGCCAGGGCCTGCCCACCCTCTCAGGGAACAATCCCTTCCCAGTATCCCATCCATTCCTGCCCTCTGGCAGTGTGACCCCATTCCCCATGTCCTCGCACTGCAGGCCCACTCTGTGTTTGCTGTCAGCTCCTTCAGGTCCTGCAAGGCCACAGTTGGGTCACCCCAAAGTGTCTCTTCCCCAGGGTGACCAATCCCCGTTCCCTCAGCCTTTTCTGGTGGGAGGGTGCTCCATCCCTCTGGGCTGTGCTGAACAAGCCAGTGCTCTGCTGGCCATGTGCTGGACCCTGCCCAGTGGGGAATGACCCGTTCCTGTGGGGGTGGTACCTCAGCTGCAGATGGTGGGCAGGAGCAATGGCACTGATGCTGATGTGAGGCTTTTGCCCCTTGTTTTCCCTCTGTTTAGGGAGTGACAATTCCCAGTCAGAGACGCTACGTGTACTACTATAGCTACCTGTTAAAGAATCACCTGGATTACAGACCAGTGGCACTGCTGTTCCACAAGATGATGTTTGAAACAATTCCCATGTTCAGCAGCGGAACTTGCAGTAAGTACCAGCACCTCTTGGCTTCTGCTGGGGAACATCTTGGCATTTTGGGTGTGGGATGGCACAGAAAGCTGCACAGCTTGGAGAAAGTTCCCATTTAAACACTTCACAGTCCCAAACCTGCTGCCTTAGTGGGCTCTGTCCCCTGGATCCTCCCAGGTGTAGTCTGAGAAGGACTTGGGGCTGTTTTGGTACAGTTTCAAATTGGGAAGGGTTCTAAAGGTTGGAAGATAAGTGATTCCATGTGTAGAATCACTGAGGCTGGGAAAGACATCCAAGATTGAGTCCAGCCTGTGAACAGTCCCCCTCTTGTCACCCTAAACCAGAGCCACATCCACTCATTGCTCAGACACCTCCAAAGATGGGGACTCCATCACTCTCTCTGTGTATGTTTGGATATTTGCTCCTTATTTGTATGAAAAGCCTCCTTTTTTTTTTTTTTTTTTTAACACAGCAGCTCTTGGGAGACATGAATTGCTGAAAAACATTTGCCTAATGGCATGTTGGCTTTGAATGCAGCAGCATCATTCTTCCCATGATGCTGAAAAAAAAATAAATGTATCAGTTGAACTGGGTAAATATCTAATTAACTGTGGAATAAACTTCCCTTCATGTGGAGGTTTCTGAAGCATTAATACACCTGTAAATGATTAATCTGATCTGCTGATACACTGTGTTAGTGAGGAACAGCAGATTTCTTGAAGCTTTGAAATCCAAAACCAAGCTCTGTCCTGTGGGCTGTTACAGGGCAGCGACTGCCTTGTGTTGCGTGCTCATTTTTTTGGTGGTGGAAAAAATTTGATGGTTTTGCTATGGGGATTACAGCAATGTGTAATTAATTCCAGTGCCTCCTGTGGCTTTGATTAAAATTGCCCTGTTAATATTGTTGTGAGGCAGTACCTGAACATGGAAGGCACACGAGAAACAATGGAGCCGCTTGTCAGGCTGTCTGTATGAACTGGGGGAGGGGGGGAGGAGCCTCTGCCAAAASCCCTCTGCCTTAGGGGAGAGCTGTGAGGTTACAGATTGCTGCAATTAGCACTTAGTTCATGTTTTGGATAAATGGTGTTGTGCTTGTGAACCTGAGCTGCTCGGTGAGTGCTGATTGTGTGTCGATGGCAGGCTGGTGGTGTGGAGTTTCCACAGGAGGAATTTGGGATGAATGACAGACTGCACAAGCACCTGAGAAGATAAATTACCCAGCAGGCTCAGCAGTTGTGTACTGCAATATTTTAACTTTCTGTGGAGCTCTCAGTGATTTTCAGAATGTGAAATTGAGTCTGTGTTGTTTCCTTAGTYGTGCTGTCAGCTGTGATGGGAGTGATTTTACCAACATAATGCTTTAAATGTGCCTGCCTTGTTATCATTCTGTTGCTTTAGAGTCACTGACAGGGCAGAGTCCTGCCTCTGGGGCAGAATGAGGGTAGGACAGGCTTTCACAGCTCTGAGCATTGCAGGAGATAAGGGGAGAGAAAATCTTGTGGAGACCTTTCAGGGTCTGAAGGGGCTCCAAGAAGCTGGAGAGGGRTGTTCATCAAGAGCTGTGGTGATAGGACAAGGGGGAATGGCTTGATAGTGCCAGAGGGGACATTTAGGTGAGWTGTACAGAAGGAATTGTTCCCTGGGAGGGTGGGCAGGCCCTGGCACAGGGTGCCCAGAGAAGCTGTGGCTGCCCCTGGATCCCTGGCAGTGCCCAAGGCCAGGCTGGACATTGGGGCTGGGAGCAGCCTGGGACAGTGGGAGGTGTCCCTGCCATGGCAGGGGTGGCACTGGATGGGCTTTGAAGTCCCTTCCCACCAAACCAGTGAGGGGTTGTCTGAGCCTGTGACAGTTTCCCAGCTGGGCCCTTCAGCAGCACAGTGTGGCTGTGCTCAGTGGGGACTGTAGCTCTGCAGGACTGTCTGGCCTTCCCAAAGCAACTCTGCTTGAACTGCACCAAAAACCCCTCAAAACTGGAGTGCTACCCCTGCAGCTAAGTTGGGCCATAGCTGGCACTTCTCTGGTGATGCTAATGTAAGGACCAGCTTAGCCTCTGTTGGTACTGGTCGGTTTTCAGTAAAATGTTCAGTTTTGTCCTTGTTTTTGCAAGAGTAGGAGTCWGTTTATGCTGACATGACCAGCCACTCCGTAACTGGGAGAAGAGGTGAGAGAGAATAAAACCCCTCACTTAGTTTTGTGTAATAAAGAGAAGAGGCAAAATGCAAGGAGYAGTCAAGTTGTTGTCACTTCTTATAGTCATTATGTTAAAAAAAATAGCTTTTTAGGAACTCCCTGGTTGCCTGAAAGAACTGCCATGAAGGACAGAAATCTCTGAGGTTGTTGCCAGTAGCATCTGGTAGAATTTGATCCCCTGTGGTGTTAAACCCTTARCAGAAATGTCTTTAACTTTGAAAATACCGTTGCTCATGATTTTGTTTCCGCTCCCAATACTGTACTTTTCATCGCTTGGAGGCTTTTCTCACCAAGTGCCGCTCTGGTTTTGTCCCACAGATCCTCAGTTTGTGGTGTACCAGCTCAAGGTAAAGATATTCACCTCCCCTTCAGGACCCTCCCGACGTGAAGACAAGTACATGTACTTTGAATTCCCTCAACCTTTGCCGGTATGCGGTGATATCAAAGTGGAGTTTTTCCACAAACAGAACAAGATGTTGAAAAAGGTTGGTTGCCTTATTTTTTCCTGGAAAATGTTATCGAGCCAGCCCCCGATGCAGGGTTGGGATGTTGGGTATTCTTCAGGGAGGTGTAATCAATAGTATTTAATTCTTTGATGTCTGGTTTTCCCAAGGAGACACTCTACCACAAAATGAAATTTGGATGGTTTGGGAGCCARTGAGATTAAGTACAGAGGTTGGATAAAAATGCTCCTGGATCTGTATTGCAGTCGTTTGGGTAGTAGTGAGTAATCTAATTGAGGAAGAAACATTCACCTGCTAAAAATAGACTTGCATACTGAGCAAGTTAACTCCAGCTGTTTTCTTCACTAAATTTTCCTGAGGTTTGAGCAGGCACAGAAGATCCTGTCTGTGCTCTTGGCTGATTTGTACCCATCTGTCAATTTTAGCTGAATGTCTGAGATAATTAAGTTCCCACGCACTTGGTAAAAGTATCTCTGCAATCTCTTCCACCACCTCTCTGTTCCCAGCTGCAGTGCCTTGACAGGAGAGGTTTAGAGAATTCCCTCAGAGCTGAGGATTTTATCAGGGTCCCAGTTGCGTGAAAAAAAAAATTATCTAGGACTTACTTTGAAACCAAAATCAGTGAGTTCTTAAAGCTGAATCCCTGGGTTTCTTCAGTTCTGGTGCTCGTGGAGCCACTTTGGATCTACCAGAGTGGAAGGTGAGGGTGAGACTGTGCTGATTAAAGGCTGCTTAAAACTCCCCRTCAGGAGTTACTCACTGTTGAGTGGAGGGTAGAAAACTCAAGAGCATTCAGTGAGTGAATTCATAAAAATGTAAAAATAAGAAATGCTAAGAGTGGATCAGGAGCCAAGGAAGGGTTGAGGTGACATCACTTCCAGCTTGTACCTCTGGCTGAATGTGAATACACACACATGCACACTTGGGTGGGCTTGCTCAGGTGRTGGGAACATGTTTAATTCATGTGCAGGTGTGTGCAAAAGCTTCTGGGCAGTTTTAGTGAGACTGTTTTCCTTCTCTGCCTGTTTAATGAGATGTTCTGGTTGGTCACTGCAGTTATGTGCAGTACAGAGACTGTAAAAGCATTTGAAAAATAGAAATTCTCCTTTAAAGCTGAGATTATTGACATTAAAGCAGCACACACAACAGCCAGTTTGGAGAAGAGGCCTTTAAAGGAGCCCCCAGATGAGCACTGTGGGCTAAACATGGGGGATGCAGGGAGGAGATGGCACAAACCCCAAAACTCTGAGCCACTCTCCTGCTTTATCTGCTCTCTTTCTCCTGCCTGTGAGTTGCTTGGTTCTTTGCCATCTCCAGGAGCMCCTGGACTGCAGACAGACCTGATGGGAAGGGCTGTGCTGCCCTGCCCATCCCCAAGATGCCAGGGGGCAGGGAAGGTGCTGGATCTTGGCTCTGGAGCCTCAGGAACAAGCTCCTGTATTTGTTTGGAGCTCAGTGCTCTCTCCAGAGCTCAGAGACAGCATAAGGGAGGGCCCCTCWTGAGCACATAGAATTTCTGCATAGAAGTTGGGTCTTCAGGAGCTTGTAGAACTGCAGAACCACAGCAGGAGTGTTACTGTGCTGGAGTTTCATTTCAGAGTGTCAGATTGTGGTTTCATTTCTTGAGAATCTTTGTAGTTTCTGAGTAGCTGGTCGATGCCTTTTTAGTTTTTCCTTTTTGTCTATTCTTATCAAACACCTGAACTATTGGGGTTCTGTGGATTACAGATAGTGCAGAGGTACTGGTTTTCTCAGTGTTTTGGGCCTGGTAGAGCCAAAAAAATGGCAAAGGCGGTTCTTCTCACATCTGCAAACTTTCTGAGATGGAAACTGCCCCTTCATCAGCCAGTAAAAAAAACACTTTGATAATCTCTGTGCAATATCTGCTGAGTCGAGTGTTTAATTGCCTCAGCTTTCAGTATGAATGGAGGAAGGAGGAAAATAGGTGTGAAATGTTCCACAGTTCTGGTAAGATCACCTCTCTCATCCATGCTGGGAGCACAGACAAGAGCAGATCCTTCCACRTGGGCCTTGGACAGGTTGTTACATAAAGTGGATGAGGTGAGAACAGGGCCAAAGGGAATATTGATGTCAGAAGAACCTYCTTGGCTCAAATCAAACACAGCTCTCTGCCCAAGTGTTTCACATCTGTGCCTATTCCTTGACTACACAGCTTTTACTCCAAACCCCAAAAGTGAAGGCCTTCTACTGGGAAGACTTGTGTTTTAAAGATCCCTTTATGCAGTGATCACCTCATTCATGAGGAACAGCGTAATTAGGAGTAACAACATCTTATCTTTCAGAAGTTCTGGTTTATTCAGCAGCTCTRTGAAAAGTGGGATTGATAATAAGCCTGTTGCCTGTCATGGTTGTTGTTCTTCCAGGCTTTTCTGTTTAGCACATTTTAGGTAGCTAAACAAGTCTTGCAGACTGGTTGTGATGTGATGTCTTTATTTTAACTTTGACATAACAAAAAAACCTGATAAGATCAATTAAAAATGTAATTCCTGACCCGTTCTGGGCTCAGGCTGGAGTGGCTGTGTCTCATGTCTGGAGATGAGGAAAACATCTTTGCCCTGGCTTTGGTTGGTGTTTGATCAAACACTTCTCTCAGCTCCCCAGATCCCCTCACCTGTCCTTGCTTTCAAATTCCCTAACCCTTGGAAGAACATCATCATCTGCAGAGCWCTCTGTAGGGAGGGTTCTCCTCAATTTTGCTCAGGCTCATTTTGGATAAAATTATTATGCATAAACCAGACCAAACCTAAATGATGAAATGACTTTAAACACCTGCTCTAGCAGAGTTGGCGTGAGATTTAAAGCAGCCACATGTCTTTCTTTTAATGGCCAGAGTTAATTTAAACAAATTCTCTGGCTTTAAAGAGGTGACCTCAGCCACAGGATCASTGGTGCCATGTTGGTAAAGGGCTTGACTGCCCTGGAAAAATTTCAGCTCTTCCATAGTTTGTGCCACCTGGCTTCAGTTAGGAAGTCCACAGTTCTTGGTCTTTGCTTGTCTAATCAATCTTATTCTCAGACTGTTTCTTCAGTGAGCTGTAGCTCCTTCCTTTCAAGAGCAAAATGTGTGCCCACATGAGAACAGAATGGCTTGAGGCTTGAGTGCAGTGGCTGGATGAATGTTTGATGGATAGAAGTCAGTGATTTGGGGGACTTTTTTTTTGAGAATGGCTTTTTGTTATAGGGTGACTGTTCTTCCATCTCAGACTGCTGCTGTAGTCTCTCTGGTTTTGCTTCCATGGGTCTCTGCAAAGCCTTTTTCTTCCAGTTATTGATGTTGACATKGTAATCTGAAAGTATTTAAGAGTATCCTTAGATCACTCAGTTCAATGACAGTCTGTTTAAAAATAATGCAGAAATCTCCTCATCTTCCTGCCTCCAGAGCCTGGGGGTGAAGGAGACCTTTTTTTGGGAGTCCTCCCAGTGCAGATGAGAGGGAGATGTTGACGTGGGTTTAATTTGTCAGAGCCAGTGGTGTTTTMTGCCCAGACTCCAGCGTAGGAGGGCTGACAACATTGTTTGAGCAGTTGCATTTCATCTCTCGGCTCTGGAGATAAGTTGTGCTGCAGAGTTCAACAAGACTTTGGGCAGTTGCTGTTTAGCAAACGCTGTGGAATGAACTCTGAAAATGTCAAAGACTCAGTGTTGATGTGCAAATGGTACAGGAAGTTCCATCAGCCAGGCCTGGGGAACAGGCTGAACCGTGATCTCCATCTCTCAGAGAGCATCTTCACACCCTCAGCGGGTGCTGCAGGGTGACTCTGAGTGCCTGGGGGTCTCTCTGGGAAAGTGAAGCCTCAGGAGGACATGGAAACTCCTGATGGATGCCTTAAACCTTGGATTGGGATCTCAGTCTGCAGTCAGAGACCAGCTCTAGACTGAAGAAYGTTTTTCTGTCAGTCTGAGAAATGCACAAGGTAGGGACAAGCACTGCATGTCAGAACTGTGAGATTAAATCATTAAATCAGCCTCTGTCTCATCTGATACTGCACKGGAGATTTATGGCACGGATTTGGTTATGGGAAGAAGTACATCTGTGGTTTTATTTTTTTTTCAAGACAGATGTCTGTGATGTAACTGGAAGTGAAGCAAAACACATTGAAAAACAGTCTCTAATACTTTTTTTTTTCCCAGAAGTCTATTCATTAACTTGTGTTATGTGAGCACTTGGTCTGGTATTTTGATTTGCTATATAAAGCCCRAGTTCAGTTCATGCCTTGATTTTTAAAATTCCTGTCTTTGGCCCATATTACATCATCTCTTCCTTGTCTCCCATGAAATATCTTGGATCCTGACACTTTAGCTGAGTCCTCACTTTGAATAATGGATTTGCTCTTCAGTGAAAACAGTGACACAGTTATCAGCCTTAAGAGCTAATTCCAAAAAACATGCCCAAGTCTTCCCTTCATTTTAGTGGCCATGCCTGAACTCRGTTTATTAGGCTAATTAAGTTGTTTAGTGGGAAGGAAAGGAAAATAACTGGATGCTTTAAAAAGCTGGAGGGAGATAAAAGGAGAAATGACCAGCTCAGCTGAGWTGCATTGTTTAGTTTGAGTCACTCAAGACCTCTGCAAGTTTATTCCAAGGAGCACAGATTAAAAGCTGAGAGTTCTGTTGTCTGTCAGTCCCTGCCAGTGAAGCTGAGTCCCCCCAAGCCCTAAAGTGCCACCTAAATCCTTCCAGGTGCCCCACCCCGTGGAGCTGAAGGTGAGGCACAGCAAAACTGGGCCTTCTGCTCCTGCTGGCATTGATTCCTACCCAGGGGCMTCTTCTCTTTGGTCCTGCTTCCCCTCCCTGGTGGCAGGAGCCATCCCCCCACATGTCCTCCCCACCCTGGAGGTGACACGGGTGGCACTGGAGACTTTCAGCAGAAAGCTGCTGCTTGTCTCTGCTTTGGCCTGAGCGAGTTTGGTGTGAGCAGGGATAAAGATTTCCTGGGAGTCTCTTTGGAGAATCTCTGGTGGGTGAGGAGGAGCCTGGAGGGGGGATCTTCACATGGATTCTGCCTGCTGCCTCTTGGGAGTCCCCAAACAGCTCTAATTACAGCATGTTTGCTAGATAGTGGGAATGCAGGCCTCAGACAACGAAAATCTATTTACTTTGGTGAACAGAAAAACTCTGGGAAAATAATTACAGTTAGATCCCAAAAAATCAATTCATAAAAAACTAAAAAACCATAGAAAATATTTTTAAAAAACCACCAAAAGCCCCAAAAAAACCCCAAACTTTGTCCATTCTATACATTATATACAAATTAAAACTAATTGTTAATTGTTTAAATGCTAACAAAATACAAAACTGCTTTACAACAAAGAACTTTACATACAAACCCCCCCCCCCCTAAACAAAATCCATATATCAATCACTAACACTAGATGAGCTTGATTCCCAAAGCACTGGAGAGAGGCACATGGGGAAATGGAGAACTCAGCTACCAGAAGTGTTCCTGGCTGGATTTGGAAATTCTGTCTTGGTTGTCTTGTCACTCTTGCAGGCTGGGGATCTCTCAGGTTCTTGCAGAAGCTGGAAATGATTTTGTATTTTACCTAAAATACTGAAAATGAACGTGCTGACCTTTGGTGGAGAGGAACACTTGTGAATTCCCAGTGTCTTGTTTTTATTAATTTGTGAGGAGGAGGAATGTGAGTTCAGCAGACGTCCAGTTCTTCTCTGCCCCCTTCTCAGTGGCTCAGGAAAATTCTGTGGTATTTTGCTGGTGCCAAATTGCCTTCAGCTGGAGGCCCTTTGGTGTCACACGCACTGGAACCTCTTCTCTTCCACCTCTGATTTCCCCCCTGCCTCCTTCCCAGCACAGATGAGTAGGAATATTGGGCAGGACCTGGATTTTCCAGTAAGAAATTGGAATTAAATCTCCCTGCTAAACCAAAATATGTGACTTAGCTGAGGAGGGGCCAGTTTGTGTTCTGGTCCTGTGTAATAGCAAGGAATGTTGGGTTCTGGAATGGGTTATTTTCCCTGCAGCTTCAGCAGGAATGCTGAGCATTGTGGRAAGAATGGGCCACTTGCTTCTGGGATCTTTGGCCTGAAATGCCAAATCAGAGTCAAAYAGAAGACTTCATTTGTTAAGAGCAGATAGCTGTAGCTCAGTTTCAGAGGCAGTGAGAGTCAGGAGCAGCCTGCCCAGGAGAGCTGACCCTGGAAASAGCAGCTCCTGGCTGGCAAAAAGCTGAGCATTCTCAGAGCCTTCAKGGTCTGTGTTCCAGAACTGTCCTGCCCCATGGTGCACGTGTAGCTGTGGCAGAGTGCACAGTCAAACTGCTGCTCATCTGTCCATTTCTGCTTCATTCTGGATATCTTAATCCATCTTCCTTCTGGATATCCCTCCTCTGTCAGTGCCTGGGCTTCTCCTGCACCCTTCCTGCTGCGTGGCAGGGCTGGGGCTGCCTTTTCTCAGTGAGAGACTCAGCAGGGTCTGCCTGGGTGCAGCATCTCAGCAGTGAATTCATCKCTGCAGTGCTGGGGTTGTGGGTGGTTTTGCTCTCTTGTAGCTATTTCTGTATAAAAATAAGAAAAGCTGTCTTTTGCAGGGGAGAATCAGTATTACCTCAACTGCTTCACACAGGTTGTCTCTGTTGGGTTTAGAGATTGCTTGGCAAGGTGTGATCACAAAAAAAAAACCTCTTTGTGCCTTCTGATTGCAAGTTGTGGTTTRTTGAGTTTATTATCATCTGCTGTTATTGTAGGTATGATAGTTTCAAACTCAGCWTTCCATTAGTGACTTCTAAAAGCTTAATTGGTTAAAATGGAGCTTGATGAATGCAGATTTTTGTGTGTTGTCCAAGAGATGTGGTGAAAATGTCTTTGCATGCAATATAACAAATGCTGCACTGTTGTCCAAACAAGTTTTGCCTGAGACTACGGATTTGTTTTTGCCCAGATGCTGATATCAGTCTCATTAAYGTGCCATTAGTGAATACTAAAGCAAGCTTGTTTTCTGTGTTCTTCCTTCCCCAGGACAAAATGTTTCACTTTTGGGTAAATACATTCTTCATAGGACTGGATGAAAATTCAGACAAAGTAGAAAATGGAAGTCTAGTTGCAGATCAGGAACTTGATGGCATTTTCAGTACAGAGCGCTCAGATAATGATAAGGAATATTTAATCCTTACGTTAACAAAAAACGATCTAGACAAAGCAAATAAAGACAAAGCCAACAGATATTTCTCTCCAAACTTCAAGGTCAGTATATTTTCTGTGTGAACAACGCTGAAAAGCTGCATGATTTGTTTGTCTTGCCTTTGGAGGGACCATCTGAAATTGCTGTGTAGAAACTGAGTTGGTGTGTTGGCATTGCCATCACTTAGAGCTTTTAGCTTTGATCTGCTTTTTGGGGAGYTGATGGACGCTGAGAGGTTGGGGTTGAAGTCTTCAGGTTGTCCCAGGTGTTTGTCAGAGGTGTGGGAGAGCCAGTGACCACGTGGTGTCTGCATTGCTCTGGGCTGGACGCATGACATTGCTGAGCTGATTGCAGGAGTGCCTGTTCCATGGGGAGCAGAGGGGGCCCCGAGGAGGATTTGGGGTCTGGAGCATCTCTCTGATGAGGAGAGGCTGTGGGAACTGGGCCTGTTCAGGCTGCAGAAGGAAAGGGTGAGGGAAATCCCATCAATCTGCACAAACATCCCCAGGGGGTGTCAGAGGATGGGGCCAGGGACAGGACAGGGAGCAGCAGCCGTAAACCAAAACACAACGAGTTCCACCCCACATGAGGAAGAACTTCCTTCTGTGAGGGTGGAGAGCTGATGGATGWTGGATGTTCCAGAGCYCTGGAACAGCTGCTCAGGRGRGTGTGGAGTGTCCCTCTCTAGGGCCATCCCAAACCCACCKGGAAGCACTCCTGTGTCACCTGCTCCAGGTGACCCTGCCTGGACAGGGGGTTGGACTGGATCATCTCCAGARCTCCTTTCACCCCAGCCCTGCTGTGATTCTGGGAATACCCTGGGAGTTCAGCTCTGAGGAACCTGACCCATTGCCCAGCAGTGTTTGAAATGTGAAAAAGGCATTTGTAAGAATTTTAGCATTTCCTAACTTGCTCATAAAATACCAGCCAGTGCTCATTTGAAGGTAAGGGTTGTAGCTGCTTGGGATCAGCCTTTCCACACAGGAGTCACCCGCTGGAGGGTGTTTTGTTCATCCTGTGCACTGTTGATCCAATCTCCTGGTGCTCTGGGAGCTGGGGAAGGCAGGAGGTGTTGGATTGACCTGGTGTGATGGGATGTCCTGGTGCACCTGAGCCCTCAGCTCCTGCAGGAAAACYCTGCAGTTGTGCCAGGGCTGGAATGGAGAGGCTGGCAGAGCTGTCCCWGGAGACAGGAGCACTGTGTGACTCAGCAGAGCAAAGGAGCTGTGCTGGTAAAATTCACTTTGTTGCCTGTGCTCGGTTGARGTCCGGGTTCCCTTTTTAAATGTTGTTTTTTCCTTCCCCAGGTGAAGCTATTTTTCACAAAAACAGTAGAAGAGCCATCAAACCCAGAGGCTAGCAGTTCAACTTCTGTAACACCAGATGTTAGTGACAATGAACCTGATCATTATAGATACTCTGACACCACTGACTCTGATCCAGAGAATGAACCTTTTGATGAAGATCAGCATACGCAGATTACAAAAGTCTGAATATTTTTTTTATCAGAGATAAAAAAAAACATACAAAAAAAAACCAACCATGAAGAGAGACAAACTTGAATAAACTGAAAMAAAGGACCTTTCTAAATGGCAAAAGGACATAGTGTCAGATTACCAATTATAGGAACAATTCTTTCCTGACCAATCTTGTTTTGCCCTATAAATCTACAGGGTTTGACACTTGTCCAGTCGGGGGGGAAAAAGAAAGGTTACGTAGCTCTTATATGTATATACCTTTTTGTGTCAAAGGACATTAAAACTTCAATTAGGAACTATAAACATGGCACTTTCCCATTTTATTCCAGTTTTATAAAAGTGGAGACAGACCTAATGTGTATGCGTAGGAATTTTTCCTTTTGTGTTCTGTCACCAAACGAAGTTTCAAAAAACCGAAAAAAAAAAAAATTACAGGTTCACATCCTGCCCCTTTTTTTGCACTTGTGTGGCAACAGAAAAGTCTGCAGTTGGCTCAGAGATGTTTCTAGAAGGTTTTTCCTACATTCTAATGCATGTTTTTTGGATGGGGGCTGGAAGGTGATGCTCGGAAAGGAGCGTGGCCTGTGTACCATATCCAGCTGTTCCATGCACCTTTCCTTAGCATGCTGCCCTARTTCATCCGGGACAATGGATGAGGAGTCGCCGCTGTCACTGCTTGTCGTTTGTGCATTTTTCATTTTTTTTAAGTGTAATGGTGCTAGAAAAGGCAGCTAGAGGGAGTGATTCTGTCTAGGGGTACAGGAATGAACCTTCACGAGACCCGCGAAATGAAGGGAGACAAGGAATTGGGGTCACGGAAAACGAAACAAAAACAAAAGGAAACACAGCAACAATGACTTAACCATACAAATGTGGAGGCTATCAACTCAAGTAAGAGCTTGAAACAAATGGTTACAAATTTTGACAATGATTTATYGGGATTTTTTTGGGAATTGTAATGGCTGCTCCATCTCCTGTGTGTAATCAAGGCCAGTGCTGAAAGTCAGATGCTCATAGTGCAAAAACATCAGTCAACATCTTACATTTATATTAGTAGTTTTTCAATCATATTCCTGCTGTGAATACTTCATGTGCTGCCTTGCAAGCTTTTTTTTTTTTTTTTTTTTCCCCCTCTCATGAATATAAAAAGATTTTGTAATGGTGCACAGGAAATGTCATTGGAGATTCTCCAGGTTAGTGTTTGTTTTGAAGATTTCTGATGCATTTTTTCAATCAAACCTCTGTCAGCCGTTCCACCCCTTTGACCTTACACATTCTATTACAATGAGTTTTGCAGTTTTGCACGCTTTTTTTTTTTTAAAAAAAAAAAGTCATTAACTGTTAGGGAATTTTACTTGAATACTCATTACCTGCAATGTTTAAAAAACAGACGTTACACACCAGAGAAAGGAAAGCAGTGTTGCAGTAAATTCTCAACGCTGTAAATGAAGATTAAAAAGCAGAATGAGGCCCAAATACATTGTTTGCTATAGAAAGCAGCCCCACCAACCACCCACTAAATTGTTTTTTTCTGAAGCAGCTGGCAGCATTGGAGGGTTTGTTCCTAGGGCCAGGGGCAGGGCTCRAGGCTGGTTCTGGTGTACAGCTGTCATGGCCAGGCTGAGGTGACTCCAGCTGTTGTGGCATCCAGATGTGGAGGCACTGCCATAATGGGCCCCTCTGAGTCAGCCTGGAAGAGCTGACCCCAAATTGATGCTTTTTTTAGGCTGTAATCCTCACATCCCCCTCCTTCATCCCCTCTGGGTGCTGCCATGAAAGTTCAGGGGCTGGGTTTCCACGTGGGGCTATGAGCGGGGTCTGTCCAAGCCCTGTACAGCAGCATTAATGGTTGGAATTGGAACGAGGCAAGGCAGGACTCCCACCAATTACAATTGGTCAACCAAGGCGTAAAGGGCTTTTTTTTCAATTATTTTTTTCCTTGTCTGGTTTCCGTTGGTCAATTCTGCTCCTCAGATGCATGATTCTAACTTGTAACAAAGCTGGTAAATACATTCTGACTCACAGGTTTTATTAGACTTTAAAGGATCAAGGTTCACTGCTCATTGTGGCGAGCAGGAGGTGGCTTTTCCCTCGGGAACAGGAATTTTTAACCCTTCCCCTTCCAATCGTGTTTCACCCTGTCTGGTTTATAACAGTTGAAAGTTGKATTGGCTTCATAAACCCAACTGCTCCTGCTTGGATAGTGTTGGGATCTTGGCACTGCTGCGTGTCCCACTTTGGATAATCAGGATTGGATGGTGCAGTTCCAGTCGGTGACGCCGGATCGGGAATCAGGACGCAAGGATGGGCTTTTGCACTGTTATTTTTCCTTTGGAATGTGAAGGTTGGAATGAGGGTTTTGTTTTTGGTTTATTTTGTTTTTTTGGTTTTTTGTTTTTTTGGTTTTTTTTTTTTTTTCTTTTTTTTTTATGTTTCGATGTCTTTGAGAAGCCTTGCTTACATTTTATGGTGTAGTCATTGGAAATGGAAAAATGGCATTATATATATATATTATATATATAAATATATATTATACATACTCTTCTATACTTTATTTCAGTTACCACCCCCATAGAAGTTGACAAGAATTGCTATGACTGAAAGGTTTTTGAGTCCTTATTAAAACTTTATTTATGACAGTATTCATCATTAGCTTGAGCTGCATTCTGTAGGTAAATCTTTCCTTGAGTTTCTGGACTGTACGCTTCAGCCTTTGGGGATGTGCAAGAGCTGAGGTGTCTGGAACCACCTGAAGGCATCCCTTTGGTAAGAGCTTCACTGTTCAGCCCTGAAGCATCCCCTGGGCTCGCCCAGCCCCGCTCCAAATCTTGGCCAGAGCTGCTGCAGGGGCAGCTGTCCAAATCAGCCTCCARATTCCTCCTCCCCGTGGGGCACACTTGGTAAAGCGGAGTTTACGTGCAGCGTCACAATCGGCTTTCCAAATTCAAACCCAAAATCCCCTTGAAATGATGAGAAAAGAGGATGCYGGTGTGCGAGTTCCACGTTGGGTCCTGGCAGATGTGTGCAATACGTTAACGATGCCTGTGGTTGCCACGAAGTGCCTCGTTTACCTTCTCAGTGCTGGTGGAAAGGGCGGTGCATGTGATGGGTGGGGTGGGACTGTGCACTCAAAGGGGCTCCAACTGCAGCGCTCGGGCAGAGCTGCCTTTCTCTGCCACTTCAAATTTCCAGTCTGTTTTCATATAGCATATATATATATAGATACTAAAAGAAAAAAAAAATCAGTCTGTTAAGCAGCCTTACTCTGATTCAGCCTCTTCAAATACTATTGTGCTGTGCAACAGTGGCTCTGTGTGTAACTGAGAATACACAAAAACCAAGTATGACATGTACAGGATAATGCCTCATACAAATCAGATGTCCGTTTGTTATTGTGTTTAACAACCCTTTATCTCTTAGTGTTAAAACTCCACTTAAAACTGATTAAAGTCTCATTCTTGTCACTGYGTKGGTGTTTTATTGCAGTSGGCTGCARTGTTGGGCTGGGAAAGCTGTGGSATTCYGAGCGTGGTGCTTGGAGCCTGGGGYRCTCCTSKTGCAGCCAGGGATTTTAAGGAGCTGCAGCTTCCAAGCCCGGTGTGTCCCTGAGGTCTGACCCAGCACAGAGATCCCAATCCCTTCCCTCCGGATGGGGGCACCTCCGGGGCACTGAGGCACACGGGAAGGTGCCATCCCCAGTGCCTGGGGAGCTGCAAGGAAGGGGGAGAGAGACCATTGGTGAGGGACAGGACACAGGGAATGGGGTCACACTGCCAGAGGGCAGAGATAGATGGGATATTGGGAATTGGGAATTGTTCCCTGGGAGGGTGGGCAGGCCATGGCACAGGGTGCCCAGAGAAGCTGTGGCTGCCCCTGGATCCCTGGCAGTGCCCAAGGCCAGGCTGGACATTGGGGCTGGGAGCAGCCTGGGACAGTGGGAGGTGTCCCTGCCATGGGATGGGATGGAATGAGATGATCTTTAAATACCTTCCAATCCAAACGATTCTGGGATTCTCTGTTTAGTCTCCCAGAGAACTTATTTCCAAATGCACCACGTTGCACCTGCTGCATGATGAGATGTGAGTCCCATTGAGAGGTCATTTCCTGCTGTAGCTTTACGCTGACAATGAGATGCATTTTCCCTATGGAATCATAGGATCATTGAGATTGGAAAGGACCTTTGAGGTCATGGAATCCACACTCAGGACACACATCAAGTCTGTAATTTTGGAGTTCTTCTGGCTGCTGAGCTGTTTCTAAGGCAGACATTAATGGTGGCATTTCAATCCTGGGTGGTGTTCCCTGTTCCCGGGAATACCCCGGGTCTGCGGGAATGTGAGAGGGATGGGGAGGAGCCAGGGTGCTCTGCTGCACCCCAAATCTTCAGGGTGACCAGACAGCTTGCGTTCCTCCTCCTCCCTCCCTGCTGGTGACAATGCCAGCCTGACCCACGTTTGGCTGAGCATCTCCAAAATCTCGGTGAGGGTTTGGGGCTCTGTGGGGTGCAGGATTTG